TCAACGTACGTAAGTACGTACGTATGTCAAATCGGTCAGCAGGTCTCCTTGTCTGAGACCCTAGGATCCTGTATGCTGTCTCCGAAACACGCATACAGGATCCCAGTGTGGTCATTCACTTGACCTCACTTTGCCAAAACAGAGAGACGACGAAACACACCCTCCGTTTATCTGGCGACCCAGTTCTCGTGGATTGGTAGGTGTAAGCATAGCACTAAGTACGAGGGCAGAACAAGCACTATTAGATCCCTGTTAACAGTCGTCTATGTGCTGTTCGGCTAGACGGCTCTGTAAGAACTCGGAAGGAGAGGGACACACCTCGTTGCCTTTTCGTCGTTTCTGTCTGTGATCCCACTGACTGCAGTCCGGATGAAGTGAAAAACGACTTTTATGGAAAGCTTTCTGAACTTCTTCAAAAAGCTAAACACTCAGTCATAGTACTCGTAGTACGTGACTTTAATGCTCCATTCGGTAGCTTAAACAAAACGGAAAGACATTTAGGTGGGTACTTTGGTATTTCGTGTCAAAGGACGGATACTAGTGACCGTCTGCTGCAACTGTGCTCAGACAAACATTTATTTTTAGCATAAGGAGACATATCGTCTAACATGGCGACCCCCTACACCAAACCAATGATGGACTCAAATAGACTTTATTGCCATCAATCATCGTTGCAGAGACTCGATGGAAAACTGACGCTTGTTCTGGAATACATGTTAAGACTCTGACCACACTCTAACACGAACACGTATTTGCTTAAGCCTTACTGGCCTCAGCCATATTGGTAGATTCAGACTACTTGGTTTGGTTCGCGCCACTATCGTAACCAGTGCTTGGAGACTCTGGGTGACATAACTCAGAATTCATCACAATGATATAGGTGAATACACTCTCTATCTTTCTTTAGACGGCGAGATTAAAATTATTTTACACCTTTCTTTCCACGAACTAATTCTTTCTTCCTGTATCATATCCTTATATGAAATGTTTTTTTACTACCATAGAAGTAACTACTTCTATGAATTTGGTGTTCAACTTGTTGTACTAATGAGGTATGCCAACTCGAACAGATGCATAAATGTGCCTGGTCCTATGTTGTAGATAACTAATTAAATTAAACTGATAGCTAAATTAATACATGAGTATGCACAATTAGTCAATAACGCATAGTTGTATAGGATTTTAATATCGATCGTTAGCAATAGGTTATTTAATAAGGTTTATGTATTTCTACTGCCTCTGATCAAACTATTGAACTATTACATAATATGAAGTGTGTATATGTTCAAATCACTTTTTTCAAGTGTGCGTTCTAGGCCTGTTTTTGTTATATGTAGTTTGTTTTAATTAAATAATTATATCTGTTAGCCTCGTAAATTTACGCGGTTCTTAATCTAACTGAAAACTAACTACTGATAAACTAAAAAAAGTACCACCATGATCATTCAAATACTTTTCTCTTACTCTTTTACCATACTGAAGAAACAAGACGTTATCACTAATATGATTATTATATTATTATTATTTATTATTTCAACACATAAATATTGGTACAAGAGTGCACCAAATATATATGCGCCAAGCCATATTTGTGTGTGTGTGGGCTGTGATACTGCCCGGGTTCCCAGACCGAAACAGGTGGTTTTCTGAGGGGGCCACACACCGAGCCTTCGACCTAAAAGTCTGATCCACAAGGCAGTGGAGCATCGTGAGGAGATGCAACCCCATGGTAGCCGGTGACCAACGATTGGTTCATACGCCATTTGTTCCCTCAGGATACTGGAGCCCATGTGCACCATTGGTTCGGGATCCGGTTAAAGTGCCGGACATTCGCTTTCCGTCCTCTCATTTTTGTAAACCACACCCCCGTCACGAGAAGACAGTGAGTAGGACTTCCCTGACAGTGGCTGTACACGCGTGGCCGTGTGGGAGCATTTCGAGATGGAGGATGGGCCCACCCCACTCTCGGCCATACCATGGCATTTGGGGGCATCACTGTTGGGACATTCAGGAAAATATCCCAAAAAAATTATCCTGTTAAGGTTAATGCTATCCTTGGACGTGAAATGGTATCATCTTATTGGTCAATACTTATTTAACGTGTCATTTTCCTACCGGCCATTATTGTACAATGTTATTTTCTATTTTATGGGACGTTGTGGTCTGCTTGACTGGTATATAAACAAAGTATGTTTGAAATACAATGATTCATATCTCCGAGGCTGTCATTTGTGTTCTGGACTCAATTGGCTGGGTTAGATAGGGAAGCGAGACCAATCAGAACCCTAGGCTGTTCTACGTGTTTGTGCGTCTTTGGTCCGATCAATAATTCCCTACCCTTAATCCGCAGCATCATTTTCACGTTATAACAATTGGCGACGGGGTGAAGAAAAGATACAATCCAAAGTCATTCTGTAATTGGACGAAATCCAGTTTGATTATTCGACCAATCAGTATCCAGATTGTCCTCAGTGTCCTTGAACCACATTGGACATTAGTCATACAGTAATTTTCATCACAGGTGCTGATTCAAAAAAATGACTCTCCCTTCCGATCGATTACAGCTGCTCTTTGAACGACATTTGGAGCTACTAGTCAAATTTCGCACGCAGCTGCTAAATCTTTCATGCTATGAAGACGCGACGGAGGTGGGTGGATTGATATCTGAATTACACAGTGAGCTGGAAAATGACAACAGCCTTCATGAATCCTCGATGAACTGTACTTCAAACGAGACAGCAGTCATCCACGATGCGCCCAGTGGTCCAGTACTTTCCATTCCAGAAACATGCCCGGTGATGGAGTCAAACTCCATCATCCCCGAAACAGCATGTGCAGACAGTAACATATCCAGCTCACGAGATCTCATTGTTTTGCCAGAAAATGTGTTCCACGCATCAAATAATAACCAAGAACCTGGTACGGTTTTGTTGGACGCCGATTATCATAATGATCCACTACTTACTAAAGATTTAAACCCTGGTGACTTCGAACTGGATGGCGTTTATCCTCAATATCTGATCGATTTTACTGGATTCCCTGTGCAATGTGTTTTAAATACAATCAAATTAATTGTAACTTGGGTTTATGAAGACCCAACATTATTTCGCGGGGGAGGATAGACGCGAAAAAAATTCAAAATCCGGACATCAACTCCGGATCTCCAAAAAAGGGAGGTGTTGGGACATTCAGGAAAATATCCCAAAAAAATTATCCTGTTAAGGTTAATGCTATCCTTGGACGTGAAATGGTATCATCTTATTGGTCAATACTTATTTAACGTGTCATTTTCCTACCGGCCATTATTGTACAATGTTATTTTCTATTTTATGGGACGTTGTGGTCTGCTTGACTGGTATATAAACAAAGTATGTTTGAAATACAATGATTCATATCTCCGAGGCTGTCATTTGTGTTCTGGACTCAATTGGCTGGGTTAGATAGGGAAGCGAGACCAATCAGAACCCTAGGCTGTTCTACGTGTTTGTGCGTCTTTGGTCCGATCAATAATTCCCTACCCTTAATCCGCAGCATCATTTTCACGTTATAACAATCACTCATATGATTTAGACGTTGAACATACTTGACGACGAAGATAGATGTTAAGAATACACAAGACTAGTCATAAAGATTTAAGACTGAATATGAATGACAGTTAATCATAGAATAAGAAATCTTCTATAGACAATTTTTAATTATTTACTGGGTAAATGATAAATAATGTGATTCAATATTGAATCATTTAGGCTGAAAATTCTTTATTTTAATTAAATATATGTTATTGAATAGAACATATATTATTCATATTCACTTGGTATTGTTTACTTTTATCTTATGCATCCTATGCGCATTGCTTCGATATAGCCTTAAGTCACAAGGTTTTAAGCAAAGAAATACAGTGGAATCCAGGACGCGTGTTTCGTCCTATTTGGGTCTCGTCAACTGGATGCACCTGCATTCCAGTTATATTATTCATATATGTAAAGTGACAAGTTTTGAAACAATAAAGGACGGATTTAATTGTATTGTTGAATCAAAGTTACAAACATGCATATAAATCAGTTAAGTATTAATCATAATTGTTTGATCAGTTCTATTCAAGAAATTATATACCGTCAGGTTATACGATTACACTTATGAACTTGTCTGATATCACATTAAAATGAGCATTAAACCATGTCAGCTAAAAACATACATGTGTGCAGTATGTTTTCACTGTTGTTGTTGAGTAAGTGCAAAGTTTGTCAATAGATAATACAGATGAGAAATCGAAATCTTTATTAATATAGACAGTAATAGAAATAATGTAAGAAGTACATGTCAGAAAAGATGTATGAAAGTAGTAGGTTAGAAGAAAGCTAGTGAGATCAAACTAAAATGTGGCATCAGTTCATTAATGTCGATGAAAGTTACTTTGAGACATGTCAGTAGATCCATTCTGTTTAGCTTTCTGAATTTTACTTCTCAAACTATATTCTTAACATCAGAAGGGGTTTCGTGGAGATTGTATTAATTTCAATAGTTGATATCATGAGTCAATTGAAGCTAGACCACCATGAAAAACCTGGGAGCACTGGACGGCCGTTTTATCCTATTGTGGGACTCCTCAGCAGTGCGCATCCACGACGCCGCCTCGCGGGACTCAAACCCAGGAACTACTGGTCTCGCGCGCGAGTACTTAACGACTGGACCATTGAGTCGACATCCAATGGTGTTAATGTCTAACTTCAACTAATCCACAAAACTGAGTGGCACTCATGATCTCAACTATTGAAATTATATTCTGAACATTTAGTTATATTTCAGTATCATTGTATCGATGTTATTTCGATTCCTTTAGTATTTATCTAGGTAATTGATATGGTGTGGCAAATTCAGCCGATACATATTTGTACCATATTTTATGCTGCTTATGACTAACAGATACTCAATAATTGTCGCACACACACGTACACCAGATTATATATAAGTATAAGTTAATCAGATCAAATTTTGCTTACCTTCAACAGGATTTTGTAATACATTCACTGCTAAAGCATAGCACAACATTAGATGATCATTATCAATATTATTAGCATTAACATTGACCGGTTCAATTGCTGCTTGATGATGATAAATTGATTTTGTTTTAATAAATGATAATAAAGATTTAGACATTGAATGATTCATACGACTGATTTGCCAATCTTTACCGGCATGATTCCATTTAAGCTAAATAAAGAACAATAATGAATGATAATGAATAGACGAAAATATACAGAATCCGACAACTACTACTGTTGTCCACTAATAGTTCTCAGAAGTTACTCGTAATTTAATCTTCGCTAGGATATAACAACTATTGTATTAGATTTGTATTTCTTGAAAATTTTTACACATATATCATGTGGTTAAACAAAACGAGAGAATCAGTGCACGATTAAAAAGTATGATTCGGTTCAGATGAAACACTTAAAGTTAGAGTCCCGTCAATAATCAAAACGAATATGAATTACTTTTAAAAACGTTTGATGGTTGTTTTTGTTATATCCCGATGAGAATAATGAATGACGGTAACTGTCGAAATCTATTTCTGGACTAATACTATGCATGTATTTTTATCGTATCAATGTTAAGTAAATAAACTATTCATATTCATGCCCCTCTTATTATGAACTTTATTTTAACCTATGAACTATTATTGTACGATTTACTATTCTTGAATTATGCCCTGCCTATCAATTACTACCTCCCTTATTCACAGCCACGTTTGGCTAAATCTTGTACAAATGTTGTTTCCTATTTTATTGTACGATGTGGTCTGTTCGGTTAGTACATAAACCCGGTATGTTTAAAATACATGATTTATATCGCGAAGGCTGAGATTGATGTTCCGGACTTAACTGGCTGGGCTAGGCAGGAAGCAGGACCGATAAGTACTCTAGACTGCTCGTACGGGTTTTATGCGTCATTGGTCCAATCAATAATTCACTGTTATCTAATTGGCGGTATCATTACGTTATACATCAATAGGACACAGGGCACAAGTTATAACAGTTTTAGACTTTGATTGTATGTACATGATAGAACAGAGATTGAGTTCAAGTATTGTTAAGTGTTTACAATGTTTAACACAAGTGACTCTAAGTAGTTTCTAACCAATCACACATTCAAACCAGTTAGTCAGCTACAACGTAGGATCGGGCACATATGTGTATCGGTCCAAGTAGCCATACCGCATTAGCACAACAAGATGAACACCGGATTCATAGAAGTAGTTAACTCAGTGGTGGTAATATATAAAAGAAAGATTGCATATAAGAATATAGTACAGGAAAAGAGAATTAGTTCGTAGAAAGAACATTCACACCAATCAAACATTAAATGTTTGTACTTCATAAATTATGTCCCACCATTTCTTAACTTAATACTATGGTTATTATTAATGTTATTATTATTGATCTTTTGTTTAAGGTCCTGTTAATGTTTACCATTTTTGTTATGTTAATATGTAAAGTATAACAACTTGACCTGATTCATACTATTTCCAGATCCTCAATCTTGATTATAACTGTGTTAGGTCCCGAGAAACATAATGAATGGTAACGTTGGGATCCTTTTATGGACCAATACTAAACGTATATTTTTATCGTATAATTGTTAAATAAATAAACTATTCATATTCATGTTTCTCTTATTATAAACTTTATTTTGACCTATGAACCATTATTATACGTTTTACCATTCTTGAATTATGCCCTGTCTATTAGTCACTGCCCTCTAATCGGCGGTCACAAGTTATAACAAACTGATACCTGAAAGTTTTCAACAAAAATCTAGTAATTTAATAATAAAGAGTTTAACATACACAAAATTAAACTTACAGTTACATTATTAGGCCAGCAAGGATGAAAAAACTCTTTCTTTCCTTCAGTAATTAACTTGAAATGTTCAGTTGCATTATATAACATTGAATAACGTGCAGACATTAGGCCTAAGCCTAAGTAACTATGTGAATAGATCTGTAAGAAGAAAAAAATTAAAGCGTGAAAAACTACCACACTACTACTGAATAGTTAAGGACAATCTGTAGGAGATCATAAGACTGGTTTCATAGCAGTTGGTACTAAGCCGTCAGCATTAGGCTATACAGGTCAAAATAACCCCATAGAGAGTTGGGAGGCTCACTCTGATCTATCACAATGGCAGTAACCATAGTATCATACTATCTAATCTCTAGCCCTGATCCAAACCTGTAGAATACCGCAATTTAATCACAAAACTACTAGGTTATGTGATTTGACATTGTAGTGTAATTATTTGATGATAAGTAGTTGGAGGAAATCAATAATAGTAAGTCCTGGATCCAGTTTTTATGCCGATCGATATTTCGTCTAGTATACATTGATAAAAACCGACTAGCACTAGGGATTGAATAACATGATTTAGGTTTCTACGAAATGACCGATTACTGTAAGGTATACATCTATTGTATTTGATCTAGAATGGAATATATTATTTGGTTACTCAAATAAGTTATAGACATATTTAAAAAAAACATAATTTACTGACCATGCACAGATAAGATGAAAAGACGCGTTTTTAAACTATAATGTACCTATGATACGACTACAGTGAAAAAGTCAAAGGCTGTTTGCAAATCTATTCTATGGCTTGGCCTCAAAAGTTGCTGGCAATGGAATCCACGACGTGTGTTTTGTCCTATTTGGGACTCGTCGGCCGGATGTACCTGCATCCCAGGATTCCACTGCTAACCACTATCCATCTTTGCTTAAACAGCTTGTGACTTAAGGCTATATCGAGGCAATCCGCACAGGATACACATATGCCAACATGAGACTGATCAATTGGAGTCCTAAATAACAGTGAGAAGATACAAGTAAAACAACACCAAGTGAATTTATAAGTTGAATACAATTCAGATAATCAATTTCACTGCATTAAATAGATAAGTGCTGCTTCTTATCATATGAATCGGTACTTATAATAACCAACAGATGTAACTTAAACGTACAATTCACTAGCTAACTAGATGTTCATGACAAAGTACTAAGTTTCATAGTAGTTAATCTAAAGGTAACAGTAATTATATCTATTTAACCAAACCTAAAATGTAAGTGAAATAGATTTCAGTCAATTAGATACTAAATTACAAATTTATGTGAACAAATGAACAAATAACAACACAATAAAATGTACAATAATACCTTTTGTTTCGGTTTATCATTACTATTTTGTACGTCAAAGTATGTAATAAAATCATCAGGTGCATTGTTGAGGGTATTCAACTCAGTGGGAATAAATGTGATTTGTGTAGAACCTCCACCTAGATCTAATGTGCCAATTGTTTGTGTAAGTGAATTTTCAATCACTGCATGATTCTTTTGTGCTTTTCCATTTGATAAACGATTATTGAGAAAGTTTAATGTCAACCATAAATATAGACCTTCATAAAATCCATCCATAATAGTTACAGCGTTAGGTAATTGTTTAAAACAAGTTTGAGATAATCTATGTCGTACCTGTATGGATAGAGAGACAAATAAAAGACAATACATATCAGAATGTAATTCAATTTGAAATGATTTGAATTATTTTGTTGTCCATCCCGGAGTGAAAATTAACTCTAAGATGCGGGTACATCTAGCTGACGAGTCCCGAATGGGGTGAAACGCGAGTCCTAGGTTCCACTGCTAGCTACATTCCATCTATTCTACATTGTACATGTAGTCTCCATATGTAGTTGGATACTTTTCCTAATTATGTGCTTTGAAATTGATTTAAGTAAACAATTATTACAATTATTTTTTTACACTACACTTTACAGTTATAAACCAAAAATTATTATTGTGTTAGAATAGATGAAATATTAATTTTGAATTAATCCATTTTCACATTGAAAATGATGAGTTTCACGTCAATTGAATCTTAAATACCACAAAATAATACAAAATACTTCTAACACGTTGACTAAGTAGATCCATTCTAAGGACTTCTATTGTCGCCAAATTACACGTAGCTTCCATAACGAAGTCAATAGTGACACAGCCAACTTGACGACAAGATGCTATAGATCGGTTCATCTGTGCGTGTTTATCAATTTGACTGTTCCTGTTAGGCTAGTTACATTGGCCATACTTAAAGGACCTTATCCTTAAGCGTTCGTAAACACTTGGCGGCATGTTCAATGGAGAGCGTTACGACGTCTATCAATAGTGCCATTCTTTCCCACTTAATTGGCTATAGACATTACATTAAGTTTGGAAATGCCTTCTCAGTTCCTAATTATCTACCAAAAAGCACAAGATTACGCTTACCCTATATAGCTGAAGTACTTGGTATCAACTCGAGCAAACCTAACCTACGTATCGCGAAAAAAAACATTCAACTTGTTATCTCATTTTCAGTTCCAATTTCATTAGTATACAAAAATCTTACTCTGCTTCACTGTGATTTGCACTCTCTTCCATGTCATCCTTTTATCTTCAATTCTTATCTCGTATTAGAACTTGTTTTTACAAACGATTTTAGTCCACTGATTCGAACTTACCAGCTTTTAACATGTAATATCTCTTGCCCTTTATATGTAACTACTCTTAACATTACAAATAACGTGTTATGTAATAATTAAGATTGATTCTATGTCAAATTTGGCATTTTCAATATATTTCACTAGTTGAAATCATGAGTCAATTGAAACTAGACCACCATGGAAAACCTGGAAGCACTAGACGGTAGTTTCGTTCTAGTATGGGACTCCTCAACAGTGCGCATCCACGATCCCGCCCCCGCGAGGTTCGAACCAAGGACCTATTTTCAATATATGACATGAATTGATTGGATTTTAAAATTTTATCTATGGAGGCATAGTAATTTTCTTCTGGCTAACGCATTTTTGGTAAGGTTGTTTTTCACGGGACGGGGTTGTTAATCTCATTTATGTTCAACCCTGCTCCTCAATCCGGACTTGAGACTACCAGAAATCCTAAAAGAGCTTCCAGGTAGAGCCCTTTATACAAAAGAGTAATGACACTTTATGGTGAAAGTTGCGATTCTTCGAAAGTCGCGAGGTGAATATCCTTTCTGACAACTAAAGTAAAGACTGATAACAATAATAATTTTGGATTTATGATTGTAGAGACTGGTGAACAAGTCATTAAAACAACTCTTCAACACAATACTCTTCGTTCTTAAATATCCAATAAGAATTTCTAAACTCACAGTTTTTAATATACAGCAATTAAAAGTACAGGTTTATTTACTTAGTTTTGGGTGACACTGTTTCAATCAGTCAATAACCGTTACGTAGAACCTGGCTGCATATGTGCATCACTGCAAGTTGCAACACCATATTAACACAGAGAGATGAAATTACTAAGATAAATCCCATGGTAGTGACAGTAGTAACAATATCACTGATAATAGAAAAATTTAGGCATGAACAATATGATTCGAGAAGAATAAATCCGTGAAATGAAAAGTATTAAATAAGCTTAACACCAAAAACTCAAGGGTGGACAAACAGTTAATGTATCTAAACATTGCGATCCATCCTATCCCATGTCATCCAACGTCTTCAACCTCTGGTTATGGTAATCGAGCAGATCAGGCACAATGTTTATGTGAAGGTCATTGATACTAATTGGACCAAGTCGAAATAGATAGATGAGGGTTTGAAATACGGAAAACTATTAGTTGAAAATTTAGTAATTCAACCACTACACTACAACTATTACTACGTAATTGAAATTCCTTAAATGATTATTAGCCTTTAGCTCACTTAAAAATTTAAAATAAAATCGTTAAAAACTTATATTCAATTAAATTTAAGCAGAGAAATAATAGTTGAGTTCATGAGTCAATTAAAGCTAGACCACCATAGGAAACCTGGAAGCACTGGACGACCATTTCGTCCTATTACGGGACTCCTCCTTAGCAGTGCGCATCCACGATCCCACCTTGCGAGATTCGAACCGTCCAGTGCTTCCAAGTTTTCGATTATGGTCTAGCTTCAATTGACTCATAAACCCAACTATTAAATTACTACAATCTTCACAAAAAACCCCTTCAGATAAAAATAAATAATACATTAAACAACAAAAACATACAGCTTTTAAAATATTCTCTGCTTTATGCGCAGAAATTAGACGAAGACCAGCAGTAGCTCTTAAAATAACTGGAGTATTACGACACACATCAACAGGAAGACTAGTTTCAGCAATATTAATTAATTTCGTTAAACTTAATGCTGCCTCCTCTGGTTTTTCCGCATATGAAGATAAACCAGGTTGAACATGATGATATTTATCATCCAATAGTTTAAACGGTTTGAAAGGATCTGACAGTGAAAACAATATGATGCAAAAAAAAACAGTTTTAGTCAATCTTCTGAACACAGATAATAAAACTATGTTAAACCGAAAAAAAATCATAACTATCGTTTATTTTCTTGATAGATCACTGTAAGTTCAATCCTACTCTGTCCGCGTAATTAATGTTAGATAAATAATACAAGGAGTTAGTGAATTTTGTACATTTCATCACACGATAACAGATTATTATTATTATCTAAACACATAAACATTGGTACAAGGAAGCACTAAATAGATATGCGCCACATAAATCATTCGATTTATAAGAGGGCTGCAATACTGCCCAGGTGCCCGAACCGAAGCACGTGGTTTTTTTAGGGAGCCACAACCGGAGCATTCGACCCAAAGGTCCGATTCACAAGGAAGTGGAGCAACTTTGGGAGATGCAATCCCATGGTAACCGGTAACCAATAATTGGTTCATTTGTCCCTTGAGGATCCTGGAGACCTTGTGGAGCATCGGTTTGGAATCAGAGTTTTCCATCTCCCTTAGTTAGATCTTCAATATCCACAAACCCGGTTGAATCGCCGGACATTCGCTTTTCGTCCTCTCAATTTCGTAAACAGCAGTAATGCCGCGAGAAGGCAGTGGTTGTATGCACGTGGCCAGGATCAGGCACGTATGTGCATCAATCCAAGTTGCCATACCTCATTAACACAAGATGAACACCGGACTCATAGAAGTAGTTAATTCAGAGGTGGTAATATATTAAACGAAGATTGCATATAAGGATATAGTACAGGAAGAAAGATAGTTCGTAGAAAGAAAGATATGAAGCGATTTTAATCTCAGAGTTTAAGGGAAGACAGAGAGTGTATACACCGACGCCATTGTGATCGATTCTGAGCCATGTCACCAAGAGTCTCCAACCATTGGTTACGATAGTCACGCGGACCCCAACCAAGTAGTCTGCATCTACCAACATGGCTCAGACTAGAAGTTAGTGACTTCAAGCACTAATGCCACGTTTTGTTTTGGCCGCCCCTAACTTTCTTCCAACCATTCCAACACTAGTCAGCATTGCGCGTCGTGGTAATCGGTGTTCTGGCATACGTAACACGTGGCCCAACTATCTCAGTCGATGAAGATTCACAACCTCATCAACTGATTTACCATCATTTCCTAATACCCTGCGTCGAACCTCGCTATTACTTACCTGGTGATCCCAGCAGATGCGAGCAATATTTCTAAGACATCTGTGGTCAAATACTAGTAGCTTACGAATATCTTCTACTCTTAATGGTCAAGTTTCGCTCGTTCATTAATTGATAGACGGAACAAAAGAAGGTAACAATAACAATTTAAACTAATCTGATATTGGAGTGAACTAATGTTATATGAATAGTGTCATTTTCTCTGAGCTGGATGTGATTTAATTACGAAATTTCCATTGTCATTCTAGACAATATCATCAGCATCTACCTCATATAGAACTAAGTACTTTGAATACTTGTTAAATAGCAAATCAGTTTACCTGGGTTGGAAATCTTCACCATTAATGTTATGTGTAAATCCAACCCTAATATACGTTCAAATGGCTATTCGTACTAGCCAATCTATACCATTTCATTACATTTATTCAAGTAGTAGACTATATGATTAATATTTTATGGTAATTTTTCGGTTCGAATGTTTCAAACGAGCACCCGAGTAGTATTCCAGCCCTCACACAAATCAACGATAACTACTACTGGCCTCATTGTTACTGTGTGGTGCATATGTATTTGATGCCTACTTGTACCAATGTTTATGTGTTCTAATAAATAATAAATAAATAAGAACAAATCGTATAAGCTTATTATTGGACCAAACATACTACACTAGATGCTAACAATCTATGGGTTCTTTTTATTGACACTGATAGCAAAATTTAATCATCATTAAGAACCAGAAAAACGTAACACTAGTTTCTATTTAGTGATTGATCATTTTAAATATCTTAAATCTATAAACAGACCTTAATAGCTCAGTGGTAGCATTTCCCACCGTGGAAATGAGTGATGTGTGACTTGAACTCCCAAAGGGAGCACCTTGCTGATATTAGGTGTTAAACAAGGCTGAGGGATTTCCTAACAACTTAACATTGATCATTTCGTGCATTCCAACTATGCAGTAAACAGATTAGTTTATTTATTTATTTCAACACATGGATATTGGTACAAGAGAGCGCCAATATATATGCGCCACACAAAACAATGAGAATTCGAAGAGAAATAGAAAAAAAAACTAAGGAGCGCAAAAGAAAAAGAGAACAATAACGAAGAGATTGGTGTAAGGTAGTGTGGTAGTAACGAGAGAACGAAAAGGTACAATCAGAAGAAATCTTTCAGGTAAGGGAGACACAACCACTTTTTATGAAGAAAGTAAAAGAAGGTTACAGCAGGATCGCCACTGGCTTCTATTCTGAGCCATATCTGATAACGTCTCTAGCCACTGTGTAGCACCATCTCTCAGACCCCAACCAGGGAGTCGTGAAGGACCAACACAAGCCAGTCCTTTGCAGCTTTCTTTCATGCCACGACACCATGTCATGCACTGACCACCTCTCCGCTTCTTCCAACCAGTCCCAGAGTCGGCAAATAATGCACGACGTGGAATTCTCTGGGACGACATTCGGAGAACATGTCCAAGCCACCGAAGTCGGTGTTTCAAGATGGTGACACCAATTGAATTATCATCTCTGTGCCCGAACACACGATGCCGAACCTCTGCATTACTGACATGGTGTTGCCACTGAATGTCAGCAATCCTTCGGAGACAGCGATGATCGAACACAGAGAGTCGTCTAACGTCCTCAACTCGGAGAGGCCAGGTTTCACAAGCATAGAGCAAAACTGCTCTCACCGACGCGTTGTAGATCCGACCTTTTACAGCCAGACTAACATCACGAAGGCGCCAAAGGTGGCCCAGATTGGCATAAGCCGCTCTGGCTTTCACTATTCGTGCATTGATCTCATCACTCACACCCCCACCAGCACTTATGCAGCTACCCAGATACACGAACTTCTCGACTACGTCTATCTGCTCACCATCCAGGGTGAGTACAGGATTGGAATCCTGCCAGTCTTGTAGAAGTACTTTGCACTTCGAAGGTGCAAAGCACATACCATACCTACGGACACTGATTGCCAACTGATTAAGTGCGGATTGCATGCCTTGGGCATTATCGCACAGTAAGACAATATCGTCCGCATACTCAAGGTCGAGAAGTCTTTCTCCAGGCAACAGATCCACACCACCATTACTTACATTCATCAGAGCTGTTTCCAGAATGTCATCGATGGCAAAGTTGAAGAGGAATGGTGAGATTGGGCAACCCTGCCTAACCCCACTGCTCGAATGGAACAATGGAGAGAGGTGGTTGTATGCCCTCACTCTGCCTGAGGTGTTTTTATATAGGGCTTTTAGGATGTTAATAAACTTCTCAGGCACACCCTTCTTCAATAGACAATCCCAGAGAACAGTCCTGTCCAACGAATCGAAGGCAGCCCTGATGTCAAGAAACACTACGATTGTTGGCCTTTGATAAGTATGGCGGTGTTCTAACATTTGGCGGAGGGTGAAGATATGATCAATACATCCTCGACCAGAACGAAACCCAGCCTGCTCCTCGCGAGTCAATCTTTCTCGGGTTTTGAACAACCTACGAAGTATGACGGAAGCCAATAGCTTGGACGCAATCGGAAGTAGACTTATCCCCCGATAGTTGTTACAGGAACGACGTGAACCCTTTTTAAAGATAGGGACAACTATCGACTCATTCCATGACGTTGGTACACTCTCTAGTTCCCAAACCTTTGTAAACAACGTCGTCAATTCCTTAGTCAAAAAGTCACCACCATCTTTAAAAAGAGCCGGAGGTAAGTCATCTGGGCCAGGTGATTTGTAACGCTTCAAGAGTTGGAGTTCCTTGCGGACTTCCTCCTCGTTTGGTGGATCAGTCGTCACCGGCCATGGAGGGCAGGACAGTCTGACCGATGTTGCCGGAGCAGCAGGCCAGTTGAACTGCCCTTCGAAAAATTCTGCCCATCGTCCAAGACGTCGATGGATGTTAGTGATTGGCATCCCATCATCCTCGCAGATTGTTTCACTCACACCAGACTTCTTGCTGCCAGTGGCTCGGATGAGCTGGAAGAGCTTCCGGTAGTTACCAGATGCAGCTGCTGCTTCCAGCTCATTAGCACGCATCGACCACCAGGCTTCTCGGTCCTTACGCAAGCTTTGCCCAATTTCCTTACGTAACATCCTTCGTTTATGGTCAAACTCACGGTCACCCGGAGTAGACCGACGGGCTTCAATGAGTTGTAAGGAACCAGAAGAAACCCAGTGCTTAAAAGCGGGACGTTTCGCAAACCCACAACTGACTGTTCCCGCCATTTTCATGGCGTCATGCAATTGCAACCAATGCTCATCTATACTTTTCGGTGGAGTGGTAGCTAGCCTAGAGGCTAGCTCGGTTCGATACTTACTTGCAACCAACCAACTTGCTAACATCAATCCGTTGATGGCGGTCACTTCGTTGTCCACTGAAAAGTAAGGCAAGATTGGCGCAGACCAAGGCATGGTCAGAGTCCAGATAGGTACTCCAAAAGGAGCGGCAGTCTTGTACACAACCACGCCAGCGGTAGCTGATCGCGATGTGATCAATCTGAGTCCAGGCTTGAGATGCAGAGGGAGGACGCCAGGTGGCACATCGGCGATGACTGTGCCGAAAGTTAGTGCTAGCCAGAAACAGGTTGTGGTCTGTGCAGAGTTGCAGTAGACGGTCCCCGTTATCTGACCCTGAATGCCCTGGTACGGCCGAGAGCGGGGAGAGTCCGCTCTCCCTCTCGAAATACTCTCTCACGGCCGCGCGTATACAGCCTCTGCCAGGGAAGTCCTACTCATTGCCTTCTCGTGGCGGGGGTGTTGTTTACGAAAATGAGAGGACGAAAAGCGAATGTCCGGCGCTTTAACCGGATCACAAACCAATGGTGCACATGGGCTCCAGTATCCTACGGGAACAAATGGCGTATGAACCAATTGTTGGTCACCGGCTACCATGGGACTGCATCTCCTTACGATGCTCCACTGCCTTGTGGGTTAGACCTTTAGGTCAAAGGCTCGGTGTGTGGCCCCTCAGAAAACCACCTGCTTCGGTTTGGGCACCCGGGCAGTATCACAGCCCACACACAAATGATGAACCCTTTATGTCTATGGAAACAGATTAACGTATCGACTTTAACAACAAAGCTTTAAAAAGATTGTCAACCCTACAGAGACACAAGACTTAGTGATTGTAGCAATTAATTTTCATACAGTGATTCACAAATCCGAAGTAACTTTGATCTGGATAGAATTATATCTGATAAGAGTTGACTACGAATACTACAGGGTGATTGTTGAGTCGCACTGACATGACACTGAAGTCACTGACGGTCCAAAAAAAGTACACACTGCCGTTCTTTGAATTTATCATCGAAATACATGTTACGCCAAGTTGGAAAGCAATCAGCTCTATAGTTATCTACCTGAATTAGTCATACTGTTAACTGAAATAAGATTTATTCTGAAAACCTATTACATCCTACTGTTTTTACCAATTTGTAATTTGGTGAATACGGAATATCTTATAAAGATCCTTTTTTCACGCAATATATGTTGGAAATAAATCAAACACTTAAGTCATAAATCAACAAACGCCTCGAAATCCGATTTGATATAATTACTATTTCAAATAGTATAAAATGCCCTGGTACAGCCGAGAGTGGGGGGAGTCAGCTCTCCCTCGAAAAAAACTTTCATACGGTCACGTGCATACAACTACTGCCAAGGAAGTCATACTCACTGCCTTCTCGTGGCAGCACTGTTGTTTACGAAATTGAGAGGACGAAAAGCGAAACTCCGGCGCTTTAACCGGGTTGGTGGACACACAGAAAGTTCACCTAGGGGAGTTGGAAAACTCTAATTCTAAACCAATGATGAACATGGACTCCAGTATTCTGAAGGAACAAATGGCGTAGGAACCTACTGTTGGTCACCGGCCACCACGTGTCTGCATCTCCTTACGTTGCTTCACTGCCTTTTCAATCAGACCGCTATGTCAAAGGCTCGGGGTGTGGCCCTCTAAGAAAACTACCTGCTTTGGTTTAGGCACCCGGGCAGTATCCGAGCCCTCAAACAAACCGAATCATTTATGTGGCGCATATATATTTGTTGCCCCCTTGTATCAATGTTTATGTATTTAAATAAATGAAATAGACACTCATTAAGGATCATTATTGTTTTAATATATAAAAATTGTATGTGAAAACAATATTCTTGTCTATGCTGTCTAGCATGACAACAAAACATCCAACAACTAAGGTTGTAAGACGAACAAAAGATTAATCTAAGTAACAGAATATTTTAGGATGAATGTGTTTTCGACAGTAGGATATATATGTATATATAAAATATTTTTACATACCTAAGGGATTATGAACTAGTTTGAATATGTGAACACGGCTTCCAGTGCTTCCAGCGTCGAACACAACACCATATACATAGTTGGTTTTTGTCGTTGCTACTCCTGCTATTTGTTGTTTAATTTTATTATTACTATGATGATAATTAATATTACCGTTATCACTTATATGTGTAAAACGTGTTTTACTCCAAGGGTCTGGGGATATAGATACACGACCTGTAAATTTATTGTCATGAATACATTGAAGTAGCCTACTAAACCATGTTGAATCAGATATGTAAAATGCTAACCATAAAAATAATAGAAGTGTGATACCGATGCACAAATAGATAACTCTTCTTAGCTAAAAGTCGAAAGAAAAAGAAGAGAAGAGAGGAGAAAATCATACTGAATACATTTGTAAAAATGAAGAAACAAACAATGCAAAAAGAGTGAAAAATATGTTAGTCACTTTGGATAATTTAACTGGGTGTTGAGATGTGAGGAGATTTAGTACTAATCTTCACCTATAGGTGTTTTTCACCAGGTTGGCTTTTATGGTAATCCTTTTTATCGCGTAATGTGTCTGATCCACAAATCCCTTTATCTTTTGCTTATCCAACATACAACGGAAATATACCGACCATGGTGGTGGTTTTTATTTTGAATTTCTCAGTAGTTAGCTTTGTGAATAGACTGTACGCTTCTTTATAGAAACATTTGATCATAACAAGCGATTAACAAGCAAAACTAGTTACTTAAAGCAAATCTAAAACAAGATGTACTTGTATATTTGTCCGGTTGAAAAATAAGTGACCTAGAATAGATCATTACACATGTTTGGTTGAATACACTCAAATCAACCACACTGCGATAGGTAATTGTTAAATGAGGTTTAGCAATATTATATTGGTTATGGGTTGAGAATTACTTCACTACATGAAAATGCAGACGATTGAGAGATTCTTCTAATACAGAATGGGATCATCACTAATTAAATATGTAGGACTGATGCAAAACAACTTTTCAAAGTTATTAACTAACAAGTAAATAAAGGCAAGCGGTTGCTTTATTCCATTCGCCACAAGGAGGAACTAACTTGCGATGGAGAACAAATCGCTGTATTCTAGAATCTCGTATAATAAAATCTTGATTATTTAAGAAAACTCCAGATATTTATTGATTAATGGGCATGAAAAACTGCCTCTAACTACTTGAAACCATGTCGAGCTGTTTAGAGTGACAACCACATAGCAACTAATGAAATGGAAATCGATCAGTATGGACACTGACAATATGTCTCAGAATGGTAAACCCGAAAATCGATAAACGTGAAAACTTTTAGATCAACATGGTAATGCTAAACCATTAAACGAAATAAGATAGTAATTTAATATTCTGTATAGTCGAATACAATAGATAGCTCTGATGCAACTAGACGATTTGGACTTCTCAGATCACTTAGCTCTCCCATCCCACACACATCAACAAATGCAGATGGAGACAACCAGTGTAACAGCAGTCGTTGCATCAGTAGGACTCAACATACACAAGGGAAAAGCAACATCTTCAAATACAACACAGAGAACACCAAACAATCACATTCGGTTGGGAAACTCTGGAAGAGGTGGAATCTCACTTACCTGGACAGCATCATCGTCGACGAACGAGGAGGATCTGATGCAGACGCAAAGGTAAGGGTTTTTAAAGCAACGGCAGCGTTCCCACATTTGACGAACATATGGAACTCAAAACAATTATCTGTCAACCAATTACAAAGTCGCAATCTTCAATACGAACGTCAAGACAGTTAGTTCTATTATACGGAGCTGAAACGTGGAGAACTACCAAAACCATCATCAAAATAGTATAAGTATTTATAAACAGTTGTCTATACAAGATACTCAATGTCCGTTATTGACCGGATACCATCAGCAACAGTCTACTGTGGGAGAGAACAAAACACCTTCCATCTAAATAGAAAATTAAGAAAAGATGTTGGAAGTGGATAGGTCCTACATTGAGAAAATCACTAAACTACATTACGAAGTAAGCACTAACTTGGAATCCCGAAGGGAAACGAGAAAGAGGAAGACCAAAGAACACACTATGTCGGGAATTAGAATCAGACATGAAAAGGATGAATGGCAACTCAGTCAGTCAGTCAGCTACAACGTAGGACCAGGCACATATATGCATCGGTCCAAGTTAACATACCTCATTACACAACAAGATCAACACCGGATTCATAAAAGTAGTTAATTCAGAGGTGGTAATATATAAAAGAAAGATTGCAATAAGGATATAGTACAGGAAGAAAGAATTAGTTCGTAGAAAGAAAGATACGAAGCGATTTTAATCTCTTAGTTTGAGGGAAGACAGAGAGTGTATACAGAGTTCGATGGAGAATGCTGGTGGGTCACCTATGCTCTTTTACGAGGGATAACAGGATTAAGTATAGTCGATAAGTACTGAATATTACTTTCGAGTTTGTAACAATTCTCGTCTAATCTACTATGAAACAGCAAAAAATAGATCAATACAATATATATATATATATATATATATATATATATAGATAGATAGATAGATAGATAGATAGATAGATAGATAGATAGAGAGAGAGAGAGAGAGAGAGAGAGAGAGAGAGAGAAATGTAATTAAGCTATTTAACATACCATTCGATGATAGCTGGATCTTAAATACGATGAAGGTAGTAGACCAACAAACAAACGCTGATAATTCATAAAAGGTATCATTGGTGATTTGTCTGAATTATTGATATAATTACTCTCGTATTCTGTGTTTAAAAGTTTCATAATTTAAATAAATCGAAATCTACCAATATCTAAAATACATAAAGAATCATCAGAGAAAGAATAAATAAATAAACATTAAACAACGACGAAATGTACATTTAAATCAAATTAAACTATTCAGTACATCAATAACAAGTAAATAGAAGATAAATAGGTTTACTATATCAATATGAGTTATAGATAAAGTAAGACCATGTGGTGCTGATTTGGATCGATCAATTTATACACACTATAGCAAAGAAATGACCAAAATAAAGGTTGAGTAAAAGGATAGCAATAGAGATTATTTAATACCAATGATAGTGGTACGCTAAGAGAAACAAAATATAGTTCACATTATATATATATTTCCTCGTAGGTTACTTTTTAAATAATTTAACGTTTAGAAATCGTTTTTCTCTGTGGATACTCTCATTTACTTGAATATGAAGACAGTGATAAAGTGAAATTCTTTTTATGACTTAATCATTTACATAGGCGATTCATCAAATAAATGCCTTTCCATGATAATTTTGATTACTTACCAAATAATTCAATTTCTTACCATTAATGGTAAGTACTTGTAGAATTCGGAGAGTAAGAATACGAAGTTTACAAACTGATTGAAGGAGAGCAGTTTAGGTTTCTTCAAGATTGTGAATAAACCAACTGTTTTTACATTTATCGAAACACATTTAAAAGCTGATTATACCATTTTTATGTAACCTTACCGCCAAAGAATACCCGGCATATATGAAGAATCGCATTCTGTTTCTGCCAACTTTCATCATTTGTGGTTTGGATAAGACATCTATCCGCCAACGAAGCGGTGAGTAGACTGGACAGAAATTTTCTCTGAATAGGGTGAAACAAAATTAAGGTGGGCTAAGAGAATAAATGGAATTAGTTCACTAAGTCGTTTACTGTTGGTCTAAGCCGTATGAATGGACGTAGTCTCTTTGGTTGGTTTCTGTGTAACAACCGCGATCAGTGGTTGGAGATGGCTAAGAATCAGTTGAAATGGCGTAGATGTATTCAGACTTAAACTCTGAGATTTAACGACATGTTTTAACTTTTATTTCCCAAGTTGCCCGAAACCTTAGTTTTCAATGTTTAATCTTTCTCATTACAATTGTAACTAATACTATTTCGAAACTTACTATTGATCTTGCTAATTTCACTTCATTGAGCTGATGCTAACTTTGGCTGAAGCAGATTCTTATCAAGTCGTATGTTTATTATACTAACTGGCTGAAAGGCAATAATCATATCGGTTGGCAAAGATATGCTTTATTAGTTGAATAGGAATATGGTTTAAATATTACAAAAATGTACACCAAAGAGCTTTTCAAACACTGAAAACTTTCCACAATAGAGTCGCACGTAAAATAACTGCATATATGTAGTTCTTTACTACTTCGAACAACCAGTACAAGAGTAAGTGGTTGCTCTCACTACCGTTGTGCCATTGACAACATCCTAGGAAAAGTCCTGAAAGGCATGATAATGGCATAAATCTTTTACTTAGACCTAAAATACGGATCTAGGTATACTTTTTTTTACTATGAAGTGGTATATAACCAACATGGATAGTATTACTTAGTTGGGCATCAGCGCGTAGTGTCAATAAAGGAAAAAGAACGTCTACAAGGCTAGTAGGAGCATTTTTCTACATTCATGTTTGATATCGAACTATTTAGAAGAGTGGAATGTTTGTTAAGCAGTAAAAGATGAATTGGATTTCCATACAGTGAAGTTCAAAGAGGTTTATTTTCATCTGAGGGATCTTGGATGTTTTGACGCTGGTCAAATCATAAGAAATCAGGTATTTGACGCAAATTCTACTTAATGGATGTAAGACTAAAGATAATTAACGATTGCACTTGAGTATCGTCGTTTTCAAATAGTTGTTGAGAACTGTTACGCTGAGATTTGGTAGTGTGTACTTCAGTATAGCAAAAATTATGACACAAGAAGAGCTATTATCATTAACCACTGAACTAAAATGCCGGGTTAGGGTAAAATAATACATTAAAAATACCCAGATAAATTAAAGTGTCACAAAAGAGCTTGTTAAATTATTAGAGTAATCACAATACTTTCCTGTTTTTCAGGATTTTCGGTTGACTTAGTAGAATAATAGCATAGTCTTCTAGGTTTACTGCCAACCACAAGCTTGAGTAAATGAGGGTTGGAAATCCCAACCCATATAAAAAACTGTTATAATAATGCCAACCAGAGTAGACCAACTAATTCACCTAAACTCTGTTATGGGATTTAAAGAGTTAGTAGCGAAGGGTTATGATACCGTCACTATCAGATGGTCCTCAAGCTGAGATTGAGACTAAAGAAGTACTGGACAAACGCCATTACAAGAGTTTAAGACAACCTTCCTTCGGAATGCTAACAGACTCAGTGAATTCGAGATAGCACTAAGCAGCAGTTTCCAAACCACACAAGGTCTACTAAAAGAAACTACCATGAAGAAATGGAAACGATGGAAGAAATAACTAAAACACGCCGCAAGGTGTTGGGTAGCAAAAAGCACCAACATAAACAATAAAACTCGATAGACACCTTGGGCAAGACGCAACAAGGGTTAAATAAGACGGAGATCGACAACAGTCGGACATGAGAAGATAAACACACAAACGAGTGAAGAGCATTAGAACTGGTAGGCGAAAATGTGTGAAATATCTAGCAATGATTACAGAAAAAACTGGAACAGAAAGAAAGAATCCACAACTACATGATATGACGAAGCTAGCAGTGAAATACAGACACTCAGCTTCGAGATCAACTGACCGGATTCTGAAGGATGGGTTGTGTGCACACTAAATCACAACACTACGGATCATCGTTCAACAATCAGTTGAATAGAACTCGTCAATATACATCAACTTCATTGATTATTAGAAGGGGCTTGACTGTGTGGACAGGAGAACATTATGGAAACTTCTTTGACACTAGAGATCCTGAGAAGAATGTCAATATTACCCGAAACTTATACGACAGACTACACTGCAAAGTCACGCGTGGAGGACAGCTGACAGATGCATTCCAAGTGAGGACCGGATTCAGACAAGGCTGTTTACTCTCCCCCTTCCTCTTTCTTCTGGTGATCGACTGGATCATGAAAACCTCCACATCTGACGGGAAGCACGGAGTACAATGGATTGCTCAGAATCAATTAGACGATTTGGAATTCTCAGATCACTTAGCTCTCCCATCCCACACACATCAACAAATGCAGATGGAGACAACCAGTGTAACAGCAGTCGTTGCATCAGTAGGACTCAACATACACAAGGGAAAAGCAACATCTTCAAATACAACACAGAGAACACCAAACAATCACATTCGGTTGGGAAACTCTGGAAGAGGTGGAATCTCACTTACCTGGACAGCATCATCGTCGATGAACGAGGAGGATCTGATGCAGATGCAAAGGCAAGGATTTTTAAATCAAAGGCAGCGTTCCCATATTTGACGAACATATGGAACTCAAAACAATTATCTGTCAACCAATACCAAAGTCACAATTTTGAATACCGACGGAAAAATTTATTTTTGGGAAGCTGAGATTTGGAGGACTCATTTATTTATTTGAAAACATAAATATTGGTACAAAGGGGCACCAAATAAATAAGCACCACACAATAACAAAGAGAACATGAAGAGATAGAGAATACAAAGTAGAACAACAACGAATATAAATTAGTGTATGAGAGTGAAATAATAATAATGGAAGGGGCAGTTCAACTAGAAAAAGTACAGCCAGAGAAAATCCTCGTTAGTTACGTTCATGTTTTATAAAGTAAAACAAAGTTACAGTAGGATCGCCACTGGCTCCTATTCCGAGCCATGTCTGATAACGTCTCTAGCCATTGTGTTGAATCATTTCTAGGACCTCAACTAGGGAGTTGTGAATGATATCCTCAACTCGGAGAGGCCAGGTTCCACAAGCAGAGCAAGACTTCTCCCGCCGACGCGTTGTAGATCCGACCTTTTACAACCAAAGTAACATCACGAAGGTGCCGAAGATAGCCCAGATTAGCATAAACCACCCTGGCTCTCAATTAATTACATCCATCAGAACTGTTTTCAGAACATCATCGATAGCAAAGTTGGAGAGGAATGGTGAGGTTGGGCAACCCTGTCTAACCCCACTTGCCAAATGAAACAATGGAAAGAGATGGTTGTATGCCCTCACCCTGCCTGAGGTGTTTGTATATAGGGCTTTTAGGATGTTAATAAACTTCTCAGGCACACCCTTCTTCAATAGACAATCCCAGAAAACAGTCCTCTCCAACGAATCGAAAGAAGTCCTAATGTCGAGAAACATTTCGATTGTTGGCTTGTGATAAGTATGACGGTGTTCTAACATTTAGCGGAGAGTGAAAATGTGGTCAATACATCCTCGACCAGAACGAAAATCAGCCTGCTCCTCGCGAGTCAATCTTTCTCGGGTTTTGGACAACTCTCACCAGAAAAACAGGTGTTTATGAACAGCTCTCCATGCAAGATACCCCAGGTCCATGGATCGGACACCATCAGCAATAATATACTGCAGCAGAGAACAAACTAGTTCCCAGATGAGAAAATTAAGAGGCGCTGAAGGTGGATAGTACACACTACCTAGACTATTAGACTGCATCACAGAGCAAGTACTGATTGAGTCTTCAAAGGAAAGCGATATGATAAACAAAAGAACAAAAGGTTCTGGGGATCGGATATAGACGTCAAAATGATGAATAGCAGCTAGCAACAACTGAAATAAAGAACTGAGGAGAGTTAATTAGAAATCACTAGTCGGTCGTTTGCAACGTGAAACATGGTGCTTGTGTACATCTATCCGAGTTACCATACTCTATTAGCAGTGTTAGGGTGAATTCTAGAGTGGAAGAGTCAGTAACAGTATGGATGCTGTTTGAAAAAACTACACATCGAAGATACGATGCATGAAAATACAAATTAGTGAGGAAAAAACGCATGAAAATGTGTGAGGAATTTATATGCCTAAAATCTTGCGGAAAGCAATGAACAGATTCATTTTTTCTGTTGAAAACGACCTAGAGCAATGTCATTCGAAGTTTTAAGCATTGGTGATCAAGGGAAATAGGCTTGAGCAAGTAGGTGGGTTGCACTTTATGATATATGATCATTAATTTCGGCCCCCATAATACCGCACTACACTAACGTCAAACTCTGAGCATTATACAATTACGAAAATTCAAAAAATGTAGAAAAAAAATTTATTTAGACTAGAATATAAGAGTAAGAGTGGTGAGCGGATTCGTCCGTATGAAACGAAACACGAGTTCAAAACTTCAGTATTCGCAACTAAAGCGTGGATGGAATGCGCGTAGCAGAGAAAAGAAACAATAAAAGTGTCTGAGCAACTCCAGACGCCACAGCATGTATCTCGTTGAATGTGATCCCCGTAGCCTTATACACACCCGCAACCACAATACCTATTGTGAAAGTCAGCATTTATGAAATTTACTTGTAATTAACATGAATGATATCGTGTTTAAAACCCCCATGACAAGTATGAAGATAGGAGCACATATCCTAGAGGATTTATGTGCCTTCAAATTGTAAAATGCTACAAGAGAAGCAACTACGTGGATGAATATGTTGGAAGTTGCGGCCCATAAAAATATTCGGAATACGATATCTTGAGGCATTAAAATTAAGCTTAAACTTACAAGAGAAATCCACAGATTCAGCGGAAGGGAAATCTGCACCAACGTTCATCCTAACATCCCAAAATTCCGCACGAAAAGGCCGTTCAGTGTTTCTAAATCCGTTATCAATAAACAAATTTTCAGTCCTCAGTAATAAGGATCGGAAATCTATCGACCGATATTCATCCTTGCAGTTTGTAATAATGTCGACGCCCAATCTCGTTTTGAATATATTAACAGAAGGTGCTGATATTAGGTGTTTCGGTAGACAATTCCAGTTAAAATGGTTCAAATGGTTGTGGACAGAATGGAAGAAGCTTTCTCTTAACAGGCTTCTGTGTCTAGTAGCAGGGGATCACCAAATCCTCCAGGCAGGAACCTAGGTATGTTAACAATGAAAGAGGAAAAAGAAATTGATAGATCAAGTTGCCTCTTAAAGGACTTCTGGGAAGTCGCTTGGACTAGCTCAGCCGACAGCGAATTCCAGCATTTGACAACTCTTAAGGAGTAGAAGTTGTGTCCACAGTCCGTTCTGCTATGTTGTTTCTCCAGTTTCTGGGTGTTACCCCTTAGGTTAGTGTTGGAACTAAGCTTAAGTAGGTGTTTGAGAGGATGTCCAGAAGTGTTAAGGATACTATAAGCCATCAGAAGGTCACCTCTAAGACGTCTATACTCTAATGGGTAAAGGTTAAGTGAATGGAGGCGCTCTTCGTAAAGTTTAAATTTGAGTCCTCGAACTGATTTCGTGGCTCGCAGCTGGATACGCTCCAGGGCGTCCTTATTCTTTTGGAGTGAGGGGAAATACTATGTTTCCGTACTCCAAATGGAGACGGATAAAACTATTGAAGATTATATGGAAAGTTCTTCCGTCAAACTGGCCAAAAATGCGCTTCAATGTTACCAGTGCAAGGTTTGCTCGGAAGGCATTTTTGTCACAGTTAGCGTAAGACTTTAAATCGTAGGGCACCAAGACTCCTAAATATTTTTCGACTTGGGATACTACTAGAGAGGAGTTACCTAAGTTATAACTGTAGTCTGCGACATGTCTCAGATGGACTACTTTACACTTTGAAGTGTTAAAGGTAAGTCCGTTATCGTCTGCCCAGCTTTGAAGTCGAGTCAGATCCTCCTGGAGTGCCTGTATATCGTCTTGGTTGCGTATCTCTCTCCAAAGTTTCACGTCGTCGGCAAAAAGTAATTTGTCTGACGTTACCTGTTGAGGAAGATCATTTATGTAGATCAAGAAGAGAAGAGGTCCTAGTACTGAGCCCTGGAGGACCCCACTAGGACATTTCATAGCCTGAGATAAAGTGAAATCAACCCTAACCTTAAAATGTCGATTTTTCAGATATGAAATGAGCCCATCGATTAGAGGTGGTCTGATACCCAATCGTTTGAGCTTATTGATAAGACATGTATGGTTAACCTTATCAAAAGCTTTTGAGAAATCTAGGTAGATGATATCAACCTTCCCCTTGTGATCAAAGATGCTTGTCCATCTGTCCACCGCAGTCAGCAGGTTGGTAATACAACAGTAACCTTTCCTGAAACCATGCTGTTGGGGTGAGAAGAAATGTAAGGACAGTAAATAGTCGTTTATACCATCACATATCAGGGACTCCACGATTTTTGAAGTTATGGAGAGAAGAGCCACCGGTCGGCAACTTGAAGGTTTGCTGCGTCGACCTCCTTTGAAAATTGGTGTGATGTGAGCCAGCCTCCAATTTTCCGGTAGTTTGCCTCGACTCAGAGAGTGTGAGAACATCATGCTAAGCGGCGTTGCCAAGATTGAGGCTGCTTCCCTCAGTATAGCGGGATGGACCATGTCCGGGCCAGGAGCAGTGTCTAATCTTAAGTGCTGCAGTTTCCGGAACACCAAGTCAGCGCTTAGGTTCACTTCGGAGAGTCCTGTGGAAGTGCAAACAAAACTGTCATCAGTAACGGAATAAGGTTTTCTGACTAGAGACAAATTTATCCGTAAGCTTCAACTGGTACTTGAGCCTATTTTCTCTTATAGCCTTCGTGCATATATTCCTTATATGTTTGTATTGCCTGTACGCGCCCTTGTTGTCAGTTCGTTTGTATCCTGCCCGACAGTGCACTTTGCGGCTTATCAGGCGAAGAGTGCGGTTCTTGATGATTGTGGGTTGCTGATAGCTATGTGGGGCTGTTTGAGGAACTGAACGATTTGTAGCACATATGAGCGTATGCAGTAAGAAGTCCCAATGCCCGTCCACGTCGAGTTGAGGGTGAACATGCCAATCCACCTGTTGTAGATAGTCCTGTAGAGCTGATACCTTCAATCGTTTGAAATTCCAGAGCAAGTTGTTGGTGGGATATCTTAGCTCAGTTTTGCTGACAAAAGTGAAAGCTATAACGGCGTGGTCGCTTTCCTCAGGGGAGCCAGGATTGAGAGATTGTCAACTAGACATTCTTCGTTTGTAAATACCCAGTCTAAGCGCGACGGTATCTGACTGTTTCTCCAACGAATTGCCGACTTCACATTTTCGTATGATCCCAAGTCCTCAATGAGGTTGAAGAATCAAGCTTCAATTGAGTTTTCACCTCCAATATACGTATGTTCCGCGAAGTTGACTCTAGGGAGATTGAAGTCCCCTAGAATCAGGATATGAGTGAAACCGAGACGAGTAGAGCGGGATGGTCCTTCCAGAATACGACTGTCATACTCGGTTTCGGCAGTGGGCTTCCTATATATGACTTCGACTAGACACCTCGAAGTACTTGACAATCTTACAGAGCACAATACAGATTCATCAAGATTGTTAAACTCGAGGTTATGAACTTGGTGCACCTCCAAGCAAGGTCGTATGTATATGGCTACTCCGCCCCCAATTCCTGTTTTTCTGTCGTTGCGGAACAAAGACATCCTAGGTACTGCTAACTCCTGGTCCGAGAACTGAGAAGATATCCAAGTCTCAGATATTCCTATCAGATGGGCCTTATTAGCATTGCTAAGTTCACGTAGTTCATCCAATTTGTTTGGTAGACTCGCGGCGTTCATATATAAGCAGTTTATGCTTTCAATTTGGAACGCGTGGGCTTCTTCCTGTATGTCTGTATGGGCCTTACGTGAATGGACAGGTAGCCCACCTATATGAGGTTTGCCGAGGTGGTAGGCCCTGTCCTTTACACGTTTTTTTGTCGTCCAGACAGTTCACAAGTGGAATGGTCAGCTCCAACTTGCCTTTGTGTTTGGTCGTAACTTCGTATGGCCTATCCGGGTGCATGTGGATTCCAGGTGGCAGTCGACGTCTGTTGACACGAAATGCTTCCAGGGTTGCGGCCGCCATGTGTGAAGATGGGAAGGTTATCTTCATTAGACGGGGTCTAGAATCACCATCCTTCTTGGATAGTCTCGTCACATGCTGGGTCAGTATGTTTTTGAGCCCCTCATAGTCATGAACTTCAAAGACAACCCTGACCTTCCTCTCAGTCTGCAGGACAAAAATCATAGGATGCTTTATAGTGAGTTGAACACGAAGCTTGAACTTCCTAGAATAGTCTTTGACAGTCACACAGCTCACTCGGGGAAAGGAATCTAGGCAATAAAATCACCCGAGGCTACTTCGTGTAACACTAATAAGACCGACGTAGAGGATATCCTGCCGGCTATTCGCCTACTGAAATATGATGGGAACGTAAGAATACTGCCTGATGTGCTGTATTCTGAGCGCAATCTTATCCGGAACATCCCCAAAGAATCTCGCGAGAAGTTTTTCCGCGGAAGAAATATAATTGTGTAAGGTATACCGGAAAATGCAGACCCTACTCAAACAAATTCTGACATCAGGGAATGGAAATTTATCAAACAGTCCTTGAGGCTAAAACACATACTGACCCAGCATGTGACGAGACTATCCAAGAAGGATGGTGATTCTAGACCCCGTCTAATGAAGATAACCTTCCCATCTTCACACATGGCGGCCGCAACCCTGGAAGCATTTCGTGTCAACAGACGTCGACTGCCACCTGGAATCCACATGCACCCGGATAGGCCATACGAAGTTACGACCAAACACAAAGGCAAGTTGGAGCTGACCATTCCACTTGTGAACTGTCTGGACGACAAAAAAACGTGTAAAGGACAGGGCCTACCACCTCGGCAAACCTCATATAGGTGGGCTACCTGTCCATTCACGTAAGGCCCATACAGACATACAGGAAGAAGCCCACGCGTTCCAAATTGAAAGCATAAACTGCTTATATATGAACGCCGCGAGTCTACCAAACAAATTGGATGAACTACGTGAACTTAGCAATGCTAATAAGGCCCATCTGATAGGAATATCTGAGACTTGGATATCTTCTCAGTTCTCGGACCAGGAGTTAGCAGTACCTAGGATGTCTTTGTTCCGCAACGACAGAAAAACAGGAATTGGGGGCGGAGTAGCCATATACATACGACCTTGCTTGGAGGTGCACCAAGTTCATAACCTCGAGTTTAACAATCTTGATGAATCTGTATTGTGCTCTGTAAGATTGTCAAGTACTTCGAGGTGTCTAGTCGAAGTCATATATAGGAAGCCCACTGCCGAAACCGAGTATGACAGTCGTATTCTGGAAGGACCATCCCGCTCTACTCGTCTCGGTTTCACTCATATCCTGATTCTAGGGGACTTCAATCTCCCTAGAGTCAACTTCGCGGAACATACGTATATTGGAGGTGAAAACTCAATTGAAGCTTGATTCTTCAACCTCATTGAGGACTTGGGATCATACGAAAATGTGAAGTCGGCAATTCGTTGGAGAAACAGTCAGATACCGTCGCGCTTAGACTGGGTATTTACAAACGAAGAATGTCTAGTTGACAATCTCTCAATCCTGGCTCCCCTGAGGAAAGCGACCACGCCGTTATAGCTTTCACTTTTGTCAGCAAAACTGAGCTAAGATATCCCACCAACAACTTGCTCTGGAATTTCAAACGATTGAAGGTATCAGCTCTACAGGACTATCTACAACAGGTGGATTGGCATGTTCACCCTCAACTCGACGTGGACGGGCATTGGGACTTCTTACTGCATACGCTCATATGTGCTACAAATCGTTCAGTTCCTCAAACAGCCCCACATAGCTATCAGCAACCCACAATCATCAAGAACCGCACTCTTCGCCTGATAAGCCGCAAAGTGCACTGTCGGGCAGGATACAAACGAACTGACAACAAGGGCGCGTACAGGCAATACAAACATATAAGGAATATATGCACGAAGGCTATAAGAGAAAATAGGCTCAAGTACCAGTTGAAGCTTACGGATAAATTTGTCTCTAGTCAGAAAACCTTATTCCGTTACTGATGACAGTTTTGTTTGCACTTCCACAGGACTCTCCGAAGTGAACCTAAGCGCTGACTTGGTGTTCCGGAAACTGCAGCACTTAAGATTAGACACTGCTCCTGGCCCGGACATGGTCCATCCCGCTATACTGAGGGAAGCAGCCTCAATCTTGGCAACGCCGCTTAGCATGATGTTCTCACACTCTCTGAGTCGAGGCAAACTACCGGAAAATTGGAGGCTGGCTCACATCACACCAATTTTCAAAGGAGGTCGACGCAGCAAACCTTCAAGTTGCCGACCGGTGGCTCTTCTCTCCATAACTTCAAAAATCGTGGAGTCCCTGATATGTGATGGTATAAACGACTATTTACTGTCCTTACATTTCTTCTCACCCCAACAGCATGGTTTCAGGAAAGGTTACTGTTGTATTACCAACCTGCTGACTGCGGTGGACAGATGGACAAGCATCTTTGATCACAAGGGGAAGGTTGATATCATCTACCTAGATTTCTCAAAAGCTTTTGATAAGGTTAACCATACATGTCTTATCAATAAGCTCAAACGATTGGGTATCAGACCACCTCTAATCGATGGGCTCATTTCATATCTGAAAAATCGACATTTTAAGGTTAGGGTTGATTTCACTTTATCTCAGGCTATGAAATGTCCTAGTGGGGTCCTCCAGGGCTCAGTACTAGGACCTCTTCTCTTCTTGATCTACATAAATGATCTTCCTCAACAGGTAACGTCAGACTTATTACTTTTTGCCGACGACGTGAAACTTTGGAGAGAGATACGCAACCAAGACGATATACAGGCACTCCAGGAGGATCTGACTCGACTTCAAAGCTGGGCAGACGATAACGGACTTACCTTTAACACTTCAAAGTGTAAAGTAGTCCATCTGAGACATGTCGCAGACTACAGTTATAACTTAGGTAACTCCTCTCTAGTAGTATCCCAAGTCGAAAAATATTTAGGAGTCTTGGTGCCCTACGATTTAAAGTCTTACGCTAACTGTGACAAAAATGCCTTCCGAGCAAACCTTGCACTGGTAACATTGAAGCGCATTTTTGGCCAGTTTGACGGAAGAACTTTCCATATAATCTTCAATAGTTTTATCCGTCTCCATTTGGAGTACGGAAACATAGTATTTCCCCTCACTCCAAAAGAATAAGGACGCCCTGGAGCGTATCCAGCTGCGAGCCACGAAATCAGTTCGAGGACTCAAATTTAAACTTTACGAAGAGCGCCTCCATTCACTTAACCTTTACCCATTAGAGTATAGACGTCTTAGAGGTGACCTTCTGATGGCTTATAGTATCCTTAACACTTCTGGACATCCTCTCAAACACCTACTTAAGCTTAGTTCCAACACTAACCTAAGGGGTAACACCCAGAAACTGGAGACACAACATAGCAGAACGGACTGTGGACACAACTTCTACTCCTTAAGAGTTGTCAAATGCTGGAATTCGCTGTCGGCTGAGCTAGTCCAAGCGACTTCCCAGAAGTCCTTTAAGAGGCAACTTGATCTATTTTTTTTTTTTTTTTTTTTTTTTTTTTTTTTTTTTTTCAATTTCTTTTTCCTCTTTCATTGTTAACATACCTAGGTTCCTGCCTGGAGGATTTGGTGATCCCCTGCTACTAGACACAGAAGCCTGTTAAGAGAAAGCTTCTTCCATTCTGTCCACAACCATTTGAACCATTTGAAGTCGCGTTCTCTTGATAGAATTAGTTCATTACACGATTATCTTTAAGGTCACTTGTTCAGCGTTCAATGGTCGTCCTTGAATTATAGTCTCAGAGGCGTAAGTGGATTACTTTTCCTTCTGAGTATCTGTTGAAATAACAGTTAGTTGAGATCGGGCCTGGGATAAATACTCGGTATCTACGGTTCCTTGCGATAAGAGGTTATTGTTATTATTTCGAATTTATTTACCACCTGTCTTGACAAATTTTTTTATGGATATAAAACTTTTATGCTTATTCGTTCAACAACTTATGTCTCATCATAATCACTAAAATACCTGTAAGCAACATGACCATTGATTTGCCACCATATGTGGTATGCAATGCCACAAATGCACATGGTGGCCTCATGAGATATGCGTAGATCTTACTGCAACTGTTTGCAATAGACTCAACAAATTTGATGACAGGTGGGTAATGGACACAAGTAATATAAATTTTGAGGACACGCTAAGTAATATAATCAGTCTTCCTACCGGATTGAGGGAAATATTGTCAATAGCTCTGAAAGAAATCAGGTCCAAAACGTATAGCCAACGAAAGATAAGCGGCGGGCTCCAACTCCACTTGAGATATATTGTAACTCATCACATCAACATCAATGGTGTTAGATTACCTTGGCAAGCTTCCGTCTCCTAGCTTAAACTCTCCAAATGCAACTGTGGTGTCTAGGATGACTACCGTAGACGACTAGACCCCCATAAATAGCGTTAGAAACTTCAGCATTGAAAGTCATTAAAGCCTAGGTCTTGGAGAAATTATTCAGTGGTTCGACTATATAATATACTACCAAGGTTGTCTTACCGTAAAACAAAAAGGACTCCGACCTCTACGTACCCAGAGACCTAGGAAATCAATCAAGGTTCATGATAATCCCTTAATAGTCATGAATCTAGGGGACTGCTCTGATATATTCCTCAGTTTACAAGACAAAGATGATAGGATGTTTTCGGATGATCTAAATAAAAAGCTCGAGTTTCTCAAAATTAAACTAACAACGGTCGTACAACGTACCCGAGGCAAGGATACGAAGCTGCCGTGACATCGCGTTACATTCGCTAGTGCTGACGGCGTGGTGGATATTTTACTTGTCAGTTAATTGCTCAAATCTGTAAGGTATATGAGATTGTTGTAGGAAATTCAAACTTTGTAACCCACGTCCGCCAGCATCCTCTACTACCTTTCCCCATAATGTGACGTGGTCAGCATGACGTATCACTAAAGGTTGGGCGACATCAAATATAAATAAGTACGGATCTAGCTCCGAGCTCTGTCGCTCTAATAAGTACAGATCTCCAAGAATGGATTTTAAAGTTGCTTCGTACTTTTGATCGATCGTCAACCAGAAACTCAGTCTAGGTTTGGTACGGCTAGAAAGCTTGGATAACCTGTGTTGTTCCTGATTATGGTCTCTCACTTCTTCCCACTTCTAATGCATTGACAACGTTTTGTAGCAAGGAGTTTCACTAGTTGATGATTTGATGTGAAAGTTGGTAGTCAGCTGACAAGTAATTGGTCATGACCTTGTGGAATTTATTGGGATGTCCTCGTAAATTCTTCTGTAAGACGGGAAAATGTGTACTTTAGATGGGAAATTATTATTAAGCAGATTAAAGATAGTGATTAAGTCATGTCTAATCCTTTTGTATTACAAAGGGTAATAGGCTTTGTTCAGCCAGCCTCTTATGCACTGACTGCGAAACTACCTTAAGGCTCTCAACTAGACACTTTTCCAACCAGACAACTTGGGGCAAACCCATGCGGTTTGTTAGTGTCCAACTATAAAAATATTTATCCATAAAACAAAGTTACCGCTCGTCCCAATATATTCAACTTGGATAACAGCCCGTTGTATGAGACTGTCAAAAGCTTTGTTGAAGCCAATGAAGGCTAAATCTATAAGCAGCTTTTGATCTTTCATGTCACACTAACATACTCGTGTTACCAATAAGTTGGTGAGATATGAGTAAACTATAATTAAAAAAATTGCTTTTCAAAGGAAATGAAAGGGGTGTAATGCAACAGAATCAATATAAACTGAAAGGATTATGGATTTCTGCTCCGAAAGACTTATCGCTCACAGGTGGTGTAAAAAAGTGAGATTCTGAAACAGCGATACAGCTGAAATTAAATGCCGGAGATAAAGATCTCAAAAATATGGGTTTTAGGGGGGTTGGGCTTCTGAAGCGAACAATTCCGAAGCCGGTTTGGGTGCAGTACGAATTCGTTTAAATGGTTTTCATGTTACGAAAATGTTCAAAACTTGCTTAACAAATCGTTACAACTCTGCGTACAGACAGACTCTAATGAACTGTATGTAGTCGCCGTGACGATCGTGGCTAATTCAGTCGATAGAGTACGTGAGTTTGAGAAATTCGAATAAGAGGTGGTTAAAACCAAAAGCATAAAAGGCGAGGGGTAACATCATAGCATCTCTTTGACTGTTGTGGTTGTCAATATATAGTTAGTGATCTGGTTGTGTCCATGTTTTCACTAATTTCAGTCACAATAATTTCAAGTATTTTTCGTTTTAAATGAACCACTCAGTGTTGTATACCACGATAGCTTTTATTTATCTGATCCCCGTTCGCAAATACTTTTAATGAATCGGTTACTTTATATCATGTGTTCATATGTATTTATTTATCAAATGAGATGTCACCTCACTGTTTCCGTTAAATTGTGTTAATATTCTAGTCTTTGAATGCTTCTATCAAGTGTCCGTTATGGACGTTTCATACCCTGGAAATCAATGCCCGGTAGTGTTTGGGGTGGTAAACAACGGAAAATCCCCCGTTTAACTAATGCGCGCAAAGAAGCGTTTTTGGATGAGCTTCTTATTTCTCGCCAAAACCATATGTACCTTCAGAAACCGTATTTCAGTGAAGAAGTTGAAGCTGCTACTCTAGCTGATGAGAAAGTGAGTTCCTCTTTATTTTTCTTTTAGTTCTAAGGTATTTAGTGGGAAAACATATTTTAAGTCTAAAAGTAATTATGAATTCTAAAATAACTTCCATTGGATATTATTAACCGGAAAGCCGGTTAAAATTAGTGCAACTTCTACATTGACCACGGATAGAACAGTTCCGTCCATTAAGCTGTATAGAAAGCCTTTTCTGTGTCTAAATATAGATAATTAAAGTTACTCAATTAATTTTTCTAAAGTTGCTCCGAAATTATAAGTGTAAGGTAAGTCAAAAGGTAGGAGAAAACTAACGCAGTTGATGGATTTTCTTTTATACTTTGGTTGAACTTGATGGGCACTCATATTTCTAAAAAGACACATAAATGTGAACTTTTGTTTACCATTTTCACCATCATTTCATTTGTTTTTTTTCATGCTACTCATTCTGTATGGTGTCATCTATAATTTAAACCTGTTAACATTCGTTGTGTACAACCCAATAACAAATGGTGTATTAGTTTTGACATTGTATACCCACCTAATTAACTGAAGCTTAGTTTACTGATTCTGCAATTTTCACGTCTGAAACTTTTCCGATCATACACAGTTAGGACGAAAAGTCCTTATCCACCGATGAATCAACTAAGTGTTTGAAATGAAAGTTGAGAAAGTTTTAGATAATCAAGTAACATTGAGGAAAATGATCCCTTCAAATTCCTGGTTGTGCCTATTTCAGTTTAGGCGACTGATTAGTACCATTATGTTTAACATCAACAGTGCACGTCAAAGCCCAGGTATCTATTTAGTTATTGGGACGTAGTTTAAGGCAACAGTTTAGTAACTACTGTTTGAAAATCTTACACTTTTGAAGTCAGAGGTTATGTCGTTATTAAATGTTAGCTTCTTTTCTGATTATCTTAAATGTTGTACCCTTAATTATGTATTTTCAAATCCAGATGCGTGAATTGCAAATGGAAGATATGATTTTCTATGACCGATATGCTAAACAATTCAATCGTCGTTTTCCTACACGTAATCTGGAAACATTTTGGGATAAATTGTCAAAAACTAAACGTTATGATGTTTGATGAATTAGGCATGATGTTGACATTGTTTTATGAGTTCCTGTTCTCCTTATAGTTTACGTTACAAACTATGCACCTATGTATATATTCAAATTACCATAAATACCGAAAGTTCCTAGATGACATTTTTCAATAAAAACTTAACCATACACTTGTTTTTCGTCTAGATTTCCTTCATAAATATTTATTATCAATGAAAAGAACTAGAGATCATCAAATAGATATCATTTCTTACTTCAAAGTTGTTTGATAGTACTTATCTTATACTTGTTTCGCATTCAAACCTAACTTCTTGAGTCGTGACACACGTAATTTCAATCTTTAAAGAACACATGTCATTTCTCGATGTTTATCGTCTTTATTCGTAAATCATTTTCGTCTACCCACTACCATTCTGTCATATTTAGTTGTGGCTCAAAACCTCGGCTGTCTATTGTAATGTCGTACAACTTAATTCACCCTGCTCAGTTATGGGGATTCGGTGTTTTTCAAAATCGTTATACAGTTTTAGATTTTCAAGTAAAGTCGACCACTGGTCAAATTAACCAATTTTTTTATTGAGATAATGAACCGAACTTAACAATCTCCACAACCCCTATAATGATAATCAGTTGTTGTAGCTTTTTTCACCTGTGTGTATGTTTGTCAGTAATTTGTAGTTGGAAGCCACATAAATTCAGGCCGAGAAAATTTGGTGACTAAGTAATGACTTACTGAGACGAACCTATACCATTGCGAGATTTGAATGGACAACTGCATCTCTGTTCTAATGTGGTATGGCAACAGTCAGTCAGTCAGTCAGCTACAACGTAGGACCAGGCACATATGTGCATCGGTCCAGGTTGCCATACCGCATCAGCACAACAAGATGAACACCGGATTCATAGCAGTGGTTAGGTCAAAGGTGGTAATAAATAAGAGGAAGATTGCATATAGAGATATAGTACAAGAAGAAAGAATTGGTTCGTAGAAAGAAAGATATGAAGTGATTTTAATCTCTTAGTTTAAGGGAAGACAGAGAGTGTATACACCGACGCCATTGTGATCGATTCTGAGCCATGTCACCAAGAGTCTCCAACCATTGGTTACGATAGTCACGCGGACCCCAACCAAGTAGTCTGCATCTACCAACATGGCTCAGACTAGAAGTTAGTGACTTCAAGCACTAATGCCACGTTTTGTTTTGGCCGCCCCTAACTTTCTTCCAACCATTCCAACACTAGTCAGCATTGCGCGTCGTGGTAATCGGTGTTCAGGCATACGTAACACGTGGCCCAACCATCTCAGTCGATGAAGATTCATAACCTCATCAACTGATTTACCATCATTTCCTAATACCCTGCGTCTAACCTCACTATTACTTACCCGGTGATCCCAGCAGACGCCAGCAATATTTGTGGTATGGCAACTTGAACTGATGTACGTACGTACGAAGTTCTACGTTGTTACTGACTGACTGAAACAAATAACTAGATAATTTGATTTTTCAGATCACAAAATAAGTATGTTTCATTATCGAAGTTGGTTTAGCGGAACGAAATAGCTGATTTCTTTGTTTGTTGTTCACCTCAAATCTGTCGAGATGTATACCTACACTGAGTTGACAGTAATTTGAACAATAAACAATTAGAGGTCAATCAGTTTGGTAGTTATCGAGGACTTTTTGGAAAATTGATAGGTCGCTATCTTGTTTTTCACCGCGACAGATACGTATCATTATATTTACAGATAAGATGAAAGTTCGTGTTACAAAGGGAGATAAGTTTCTTTTCCCGATAAATTCTATTGTGGGCTGTCTGCTGATTTAGGTATATTTATGGTTAGATGGGTGTTCTATCGAGAAGGGATTAAAAACATGAGACTGTCATGTTAAAAAAAGAGACATCAGTCTTGATGGAGTTTTGTCCTCTGAGCTGGATGGTTTAGTCGTGGAGCTTTCATCGTTCTTCTGAACGACATCACCAGCCCAAACTTCAGACAGAAGTGAAGTGTTCGAATTTCTCCGTATACATTTCACAGCTTGTTCTGTACACCTCGATGTTGATTGGTTCTTACTGACCTTAAATTTGTCGTTGTTTACTCCTTTGTTTTGGTTGTCTCCCATTGGTTTGATCTTTGTTCCTATATTTGTGCATAATTTTCCTGTTTGGTTGATAAGTTGGATCGATTTCAATGTGCTTGATGATTGCTGATTGACCTGAGTGCCAGGCTTCTAAAAATTCTCTGGTGTTTTTGGAATTTCCTTTGTCCAAGATTTCCACGTTTTTCCAATCGAATGAGTGTCCGCAGTTGTCCTTGTGTATTGATATAGGTGACGAAATATCTTGGCGTTTGACTGCTAATTGGTGTTCATGTAGGCGAAAGTGAAGGTAGCGTCCGCTTTGTCCGATGTAGTGTTTTTCTCAGTTGGCCCAATTTAATTTTGTAGATGATGTTTGATTTGTTTTCCTTTGTTATTCCATCCTTTGGTTTGCATAGGATTGACTGTAGTGATTTTGTCGGTTTGTGTGCCACACCTATCACGAAGATGCCTTTTACGTATGTCAGGGAGATCCTTTTGTTGATTTCTGTGCTTGACTTGGGTTCTGATGCTTCGTGCGGTTAGTATTTTTTGATGAAGTTGATTGGGCAGCCGTTCTCTTAAAATACGTCCTTCAGGTATTTCTCTTCTTTTTTTCTCGTGCTACCAGTGTGCTGCAGTGTGTCCTCGCCCTCTTGAACAAAGTGTGTGCTCAGTTGATTTTGTGAGCTCTTGTAGTTGAGACTTTGATCTGTATGGGTCGGTTTCTTATACACTTGAGTTTCCAGTTTTCCTGTGTCGTTCTAGTGGTTAATATATCCAAGAATGATGGTTTGTTGTTTGACTCCTGTTCGATTGTGAACTTGGTGTCATCGAAGACGTTGTTGATCAGCATGTAAGTGTTTTCCAGCTCATTCTTTTTGAAGATGACGAATGTTTCGTCTACATAGCGAATCCAAAATTTCGGCTTGATCACTGGTAATATCGCGGCTTCTAATCTTTGCATCACTGCCCCTGCGATCAGTCCTGATATTGGTGATTCCATTGGTGTCCATTTCGTTTGTTTGTAGATTTTGTTGTTGAATTGAAAATAATGTTGTTAGGCATAAATCAATGAGTTCTAGTAGACTTTGAATTTGAAGCTTCGTGTACTTAGTGAGATTTGTGTCGTTGGTGAGGAGCAGGGATATAGTTTCTTTTGCTAACCTTGGTTCAATTGAGGTGAATAACGCTGTTACATCGAAGGATATCATCAGTTCGTCGTTGTTGACTTGAATGTCCTTAATTTGGTCCAGGAATTGTGTGGGGGATTTGATGGAGTGGTTGGATGAATCTACTAAATGTTTCAGTATTCGTGAAGTTTCTTTTGACAAGTTGCATGTTGGTGTTCCGGGGAGTGCTACAATTGGACGTAGTGGAATGTTTGGTTTGTGTATTTTTGGTCTGCCGTAGAATCGAGGGAGTACTGGTCCATTGGATTTCATTTTCCATTGGTCTTGTTTTGTTATTTCTCCTGCTTTGACTAGCTTGTTTAAAATCTTTGAGATTCGGTTGTCTAATTTTTCGACGGGATTTATATCCATCAGTTTGTATGTGCTCTTATCTTCAAGTAGTTCCTCGTTTTTTTGACGTATTCTTTTTTGTCTATAATTACTGTGGTGCGTTCTTTGTCCGCCGGAACTATGACAATATCCTTTCTAGTTCTGAGTTTCTTCAAAGCTTTTAGTTCTTGTGGGGTCAGTTGGTTGTTTTCCTTCACCTGTTGAGTTAGCGGTACTATAGTTTGCCTTATTTCCTGTTGTGTTTCTTCACTGATTCCGGAATTTTTGAGTGATGACTCTAGTGCTGCGAAGAATTCCAGTTTTGAGGCGTCTCTTGTATTATCGTTTAATCTCTTTCGGTGTAGGTGTTCTTCCGTATTTGTTAGTGGTTATTTTGACAGTTTGATCACGCAGTTGTTTGTGTTTTCTTGCATGAGTGGTTTTGAGATCTTGATTAGTTTTTTCTTTAAGGTGTTTCTTCTTTGTTCTCTGTGTTGTTTGCATGATATCTCGATGGCTGTTGTCAAGATTTCCAAATGTTTTGACGTGAATGTCCTTTTTAGCTTCATCTTTTGGTCCTCTATGACGTGTTGGTATTTGCGGATTCTGTAGTGTGCATCCGTTATCATTAGGTGAACCATTTTTCTTCCGCTTTGCTCAGCTATTTTCCATCCTAATGGGCAGTTGATTGGAGGTCTTGTTGGTAGAACGTGCTGTCGAAGACACTCATGGAGTGGAAGCTTGGCTTTTGGCGAAATTCTCCCATTTCCGAACAACGAGAAACGCATTACGCTCATATGATTTTGAGATGGTGGAGAAGATTTGTAGCTCAGGTGAATGATTTTGATGGGATTTCGTTATCTGAACTGGATGGTTTGGTCGTGGTGCTTTTAAGGTCAATAATAACCAATCAACATCGAGGTGTACAGAACAAGCTGTGAAATGTATACGGAGAAATTCGAACACTTCACTTCTGTCTGAAGTTTGGGCTGGTGATGTCGTTCAGAAGAACGATGAAAGCTCCACGACCAAACCATCCAGCTCAGAGAACAAAACTCCATCAAAATCATCCACCTGAGCTACAAATCTCCATCATCTCAGAAACATCAGTATTACGTAAGCATGGTCGATAGAAAACATATTCATCGTCCAAAGCTATCTACAGGATGCATCATCGTGGCTTCTATCATATGAAAGAACTTATCTAAATTTTGTTCCTACTATGTCCATAACTTTTAATTTCTCAAATACCTCCTCCTGCCTGCCTGTTTGTTAACCTTTTAATATAAACCTTTGTATTTCAGTTTCCATGTGTTCTGTAATTACACTTCATTTAAGATTGGTCTTATCATACTATGTACCTTGATTTCATATTTCATAACTGTTATCTAGTCTTTGTAACATTCTTAGTTAGTTTTTCACACTTTATGACAGTCCGTTTC